CTCTCCGATCTTAGCCAGTCTGACTGGGGTAAGATGAAATCTTAAAGTGGTTTTAATTTGCATTTCCCTAATTATTAGCCATGTTGAACATCTTTTAAGATGTTTCATAGCCATCGAATTTTCTTCTTTTGAGAACTCTCTGTTCAGCTCCTTTGCCCATCTTTTAATTGGGTTACTTCTTGTCTTGATTCTCTGTTTTTTTATTTCGTTATATATTCTGGATAGTAAACCTCTGTTGGATGTGTTGCTGGTGAAGATTTTCTAAATGGAGGAAGATTGGAGCATTCCCATTAAACACAGGAACCAGACAAAGCTCCCCACTATCTACATTCCTTTTCAATATGGTGCTTGAAAGTTTTGCTAGAGAAATAAGACAAGGGAAGAAAATTCAAGGAGAGATTTTTATGTGTGTGTATGATATATGTGTATATGTAGTGTGTGTGTGTGTGTGTGTGTGTGTGTGTGTGCAGGTGCTCAAGTGTGGAGGTCAGTTCCTCGCCTTCCACCTGGTTGAGAAAGGGTCTCTTGTTCACTGCTATATACACCAGGTCAGCTGGTTCAGAGGCTTCTGGGAATTCTCTTGTGCCTCCCATTTATGTAAGTACTCTTGGGACTGTAGGTGCGGGACACAACATCTGCCTTTCCACGGGTTCTGGAAATCTGAACTCAGGTCCTCATGCTTGTATGGTGGGGCACTTTGTTGAGACATCCCCTCAGCCCTCCCTTTTAATTTCTGCAGTGATTATTTAGTATCAAGAACTGTATTGTTTAATTTTAGTTTCTAAAATTCTTCAAGATTTTGGTTTCTAGTTTCCACATAATAATCAGAAATAATGACCTATATGATTTTAATCTTCCAGTTCACTAAGACTTGTCTGGTGGTCTAATGTCCTGGAGAATGTTCCACATGCACTTGTGAGGAATCTATGTTGCTGTCATTGAGTGGAATGTTCTGCTATGCCTATTTGGTTTATTTACTTATTAAGTATATTGTTGAAGTCTAATGTTTTCTTATTTCTGTCTGAATGATACGTCCATTGTTGAAAGTGGGGTTGTGGAAGTCCTTTACCATAATTACAATACACCTATCATCCTTTAGTATAAGCCTCGTTCATATCATCCTTTAGTATAAGCCACGTTCATATCAGTCCTCTGATGTTGACTGCATAAACATTGAGAATTATTATATTCTTTCAATGAATCAATCCATTTATAGTCACCCAATTCTACTTCTTAAACATGATTTTTCAGGTATGGTCTCACTATGTAGCCGAAGATGACTTTGAGCTTCTGATCTTCTTGCCCCTGTTTCCCAAGTGCTGGAACTACAGGTGTGAATCACCATGCATGGTGTATGTTCTTTTTACATTTTTTGGCTTAAAGTGTATCTGATCTACATATAGTTACTCTTTCCTCTTTTTTGTTACACATTTGTGCAGGATATTTTTGCCCATCCTTTCACTTACTGTTTTTGTGTGTTCTTAAAAGTGAGGTGATTCTTGGAGACAGCATAATTTGGGTCTTGTTTTCTAATGTATTCATTCACCCTGTTTCATTTTGCTGGAGAATTTAGTCAGTTCATATCCCCTGTAGTTATTGATATGTAAGGAGTCACTACTCCATGCGCCTATGTGCCTTCATCTGATGAGCGTTAGGATTACAGGCATGAGTCATAAATTGTAAGATTTCATGTATATATGAATGAATATATATACTATATGTATTACAAATACATGTATACATATTAATAAGGGAATGTATATAATTTATATTTGTAGTCATTAGTGCTGGTATTAGTTTTCTCTTGTCATTTTGTAGTTGTTGTAAGGCTGTTCCATGTATTTTTCCATTTCTTTCTTGTTCAGAGTTGTAGTTTAGTGGTTTCTCTAGTGATAAGGCTGAATCTTTTTCTATTTCTCACTGTTGTATCTGGTGAACCAGAAAATTTTACCTTTTCTTATGTTTTTATATACTTTTTTTTCTAGATAGGACTCTGTTAAGTATTTCTTGTAAGGCTAGTTGAGTGATGATGACTTCTAGTTTTTGCTTAGCTGGGAAATACTTTATCTCTCCTTTATTTTTGGAACCTAGCTTTATTGGGTGTAATGTTCTTAACTGACAGTTTTTTTTTCCTCTGGAGTTATTCATTTCTCCTGACCTTTAAGGTCTCTACTGAGAAATATGCTTTTTAGTTTAATGGGCATTTCTTATGTGTGACTTGATACTTTCTCATGGTGTTTTTAAAATTCTCTCTTTGTCTTTTTACAATCTGACCATAATGTACCTCAGAGAGGACCTTTGGTGGTTGGGCTTGTATATGACCTCTGGGTTCCTGGATCTGGATTTGCATTGCTCCTCAGACGGGCTTTTTCACCTATTATTTTGTTAGCTGTGCTTTCCATGGCATTTTCTACTTCTTCTTTTCTCACAGATCCAATAATGTGGCTCTGTTTTCACTCAGTAATGCCCTGCAAGTATTGAGGTCTTGAAAATTCTTTCTTCTAATTTAATTTTAAAAAGGTGTATTTTCAAGTTCTCACAGTCCTGCCATCTCCATCCAGGATCCCAACTGAAACATGAGTTTCACCCTCACAGCTTCATGCAGACCCTACGCAGGGACTCCCTGCTGGGATCTGGTCCTGCTGCACGTTGCTGGATTTCATGCGCTTTTTCTGGAACCTTGATACAAGTCCCATGACTTCGGAACTCTTGTATTATGCGCGTCTGCAAAACTAGCACCACCTGATGACAACAAGTTGTGCTGCCAGCTAGAGAGGTAGCCAGGTCCTCTTTTACCTTGGCTGTACTGCTGTGTACCCCCCAAAACTTTTCCTTACATGGCCCTATTTTTTTGCAAAGCACCATGGAGATTCTTTTGTCTTTTCAGGTACTACCCTTTCAAATGAAAGTTTAAAGACTTTTCTTTGAGAGTTTCCTTTTTTTTTTTTTTAATACTCTAGAGCCTTCAATGGGAGGGTCTGGTTCTCAAAACATATTTTCCCAGTACAAAGTAAGAGACTTCTTTAAATGAAAGAATCTCTTTAGCTGCTACTGCCTTGTCTGACCTTGCTTTGTCCAAAAGCATAAGCTTGTTTACGCTCCATTCCTTGCCAAACTGTGTTTTCACCTCTTTCTGCTCTTGTTTCATTATAAATTTGATTAAAAGCAATGAAAAATCGCACTACCACAGCTTGATGTTATACTGTCTTGAGCTTTCTTCTTCTAAATAAATTAGTCATTACATTTAAGTCCCAATCAAAATTCCAGGGCACAGGTATGTGTAACCGTTGTCTGCTCCCAGCAGGCACTTCATGCACATAGTCTTCATTGTGCACATTTCTATTGACATTTTAATCTCTCCAACACCTAGAGGAACTAACCATGAAGCTATGCTTAAAGCATTCTATAGCTTCTCTATCTGTGGCTCCAAACTCTTCCACATTGCTCCTGCAAACCAATCCCAAAGGCTTAGGAACCACATGGTTAGGTTTACCCATGGCAACAACCCAGCTTCTATGGTATCAATTTGAAGTATGAAATACTTCTGCATTGCTACGACAGAAATATCTGGAAGAAACAACCTAAAGGAAGAAAGATCTATTTTGTTCATGGTTTGAGAGGAATTTCAGTCCTCTGGGTGGTGAAAGCTTAGCTGCAGGAGCCACTCTGTCTATAGAAGTGGGAACATGAGGCAGAGGCTCCTCACATCATAGTAGAGCAGGAAGCAGAGAGCAGAGATGAAGCCAGGTGTGGACATAAACTTCAAACGCCGTTGCCAGTGTCCAGGTCCAACCTCCTAAACACATCAGGCACCCCAATGCTGTCAGTAGCTGGGAACTGAGCAGTGAAGACATCAGCCTGTGAGGGATATTTCATACTATACTCTCAACACACCTCTAGTCAACCATCTTGTTGTCATTGTCTTTAATGAGTTTTGCCTGGCTCTGTGGACCACAGATGACCTGAACTTATTCTCAGGTTTTGAGAGTTTTTGCAAGGTGTTCGTGTGTGTGTGTGGGGGGGGGGTACTGAGGCCTGGAATCTCCATTTCTACCATCTTGTTTATGACATTCTAGTAGATTTGTGTGTGTGTGTGTGTGTGTGATAAGTACATGCTTTTAAGTATGTGCACATGTGTATGTGCATGCATGAAGGCCAGAGGCTGACATGAGTGTCTCCCTCAATCTCATCTTCACCATATATTTTGAGGCAGGGTCTCTCACTGAACCTGGAGCTCACTGATTCAGCTAGACTAGCTGGCCAGCAGCCCTCGGGATCCTCCTGTCTCTGCCTCCCTAGCACTGTGATTACAGGCAAGTGCCACCACACCCAACTTTTTATTAGGGTTCTGGGGATCTGAACTCAGGTCCTCATGCTTGTTCAGCAAGAATGGACTGAGCCATTTCTCTAGTCCCCGTTCATTCAGTAGGCTGGCCAAAACTGGGCCTAGAAAAATACAGTTACAGTGATGTCTATTGTATCTTTATTGTACCTTTGCAAACTCAGAAGCAAAATGTCATGAAGACGAATGGGATAGAACACATAGGAATGTAGATCATTTTAATTTTTGACTATGACTTTAGCTTGTGTGACTTTTTACTTGCCCCATGCCACAGTAATGCTGTTGTTTTTCATTATTTATAGCCTCAAATTGTTCATCTGTCCCCCAAACAAAATTCTTTAATTAAAAAACAATTTTTCCTATCACTACTAATGTTGTTCTTCAAGTTCACTTTTTTAACATGATCCCTGTTTTCTACTCTTCATTCTAGGTAAAATACAGTTTGCGCTTTAGTCAGCTCTATGATCCTTCTGATTTCTTTGCACCAGCTAAGAACCAGGAAGGACGGGACTGGAACACGTCTGTTCTTTTTCCACCAGTGCCTCCTCTAGGACCCAGGAACTTTTTGGAAGAAGATGGGGGACTTTCTGGTTAGCAGATCCTTAAGTGTACTTATATTATTATTTTTATTGTGTACAGACAGTCATCAGGTGTGGGATTCATTTTTTCCTCTGTGTGAACAAGTTGATTCATTCATTGTTTTTAAAAATATTTTATTATTTTTATTTTATGTGTATGAGTGTATTGCCTGCATGTAGGTAAGTGCACCCATGTCGTGCAATGCCCGTAGAGGACAGAAGAGGCCATCAGATCCCCTGGAACTGGAGTTATGGACAATTGTTAGCTGCCATGTGGGTGCTGGGATTTGAACAACCAGTGTTCTTAACTGCTGAGCCATCTCTCCAGCCCCTATGGTTGTAAATTTAAAAAAATTATTTCTTTATTATAAATTCATACATAAAATCTGATACATGTGAAATCTGTATATTACTTTAATTCATTTATTTTCTTATATTTGTGCATTTATATAGTTTCAGTTGATAATGGCTCTGCTGACTTAATATATATATATTCATAAATTTATATGTTTTATATCCTTGGGTTGATGAATGATTTTTTTTATTAGACCATGGTAATTTCTTTTGGTCTTTTTGAGACAGGGTCTCCCTGTATCCCCAGCTGACCTAGAACTCACTATGTAGACCAGGCTGGTCTTGAACTCACAGAGATCTACCTGCCTCTACTTCCTGAGTCTGGGATAGACCATGGTAATTTTAAAGTATTTTCTAGTGATACAATTTAACTTAAAGGGGGAAAAGTCATATCAATAAGAGCTTTGTGTTAAATAACAGTCCTTAGAATGTTTTAAAAATGTTTTCAATGGACTTCTTCAATAGCAGACAAACCATGAGCCGTTTACCGTGAGCAGTACAAATCAAAACAGTAAAAAATCAACTGTAGCAAATGCATTGTTAAGAATTTGTTAGCTTGGACTGAGGAGAGAACTCAATGGGCAAAGTCCTTGTTGCTCAGCATGAGGATCTGAGTTCAGATCCCCAGCACCCATGCAAAAGCTGACCTGGGTGTACCTGTAACCCCAGTGCTAGGAGTGTGAAGATGGAAGTGTCTCTGGGGCTTGCTGGCCAGCCAGCCTTGCCAAAAGAAAAAAAACAGACAAACTGCAAATTCAACGGCCATGTGTAGTAAGTTAATATTTCAGAATGGTCTGAAGAGGTACTCTTTTGTATGTGTTACTCCATTGTGCCACCTTGAAGTCAGTTGACCTTTTCATGTTGTTTTACTTAGATTCTGTTGTACAGTTGTGTTATTATAAACGGTTTGAGCCATTTAAAAGTATTTTTATATGGGGCTGGAAAGATGGCTCAGCAGTCAAGAACACTGACTGTTCTTTCAGAAGACCCAGGTTCAAATCCCAGCACCCACATGGTAGCTAACAACTGTCCATAACTCCAGTTCCAGGGGATCCAATGGCCTCTTCTGTCCTCCGTGGGCATGGCATGGGTGCACTTACCTACATGCAGGCAATACACGCATACACATAAAAAATATGTATAAATAAATAAAATATTTTTTAAAAAGTATTTTTATCCTTTGAGAATTTCATACAATGTATTTTGACTGTGTTCAGACCCTGCCCTCATCTCCATCCTCACCTCACTCCGCCCTTCCATCTTCATAACCGCTACTATTATTTTTGTTTTTTAAAGGCCTATTGAATTTAATTTTGTTTCTTAAATGCTCTTGACTGTGTGTCTATCCCCTGGAGCCTGGTCAACCTACCCTGCATCACAACCATGCGGAAAACTGACTCGCCTTCTTCCAGCAACTATCAATTGCCAATAGATCCTCAGCTAAGGCTGGGGCTTCTCGGCCCTCTCCCCCATCGATGCTGGGATTTTGTCTGGCTTGAGCTTGAGCGGGTCTGTGCATGCTGTCACAAGTGCTGTGGCTTCATATCTGCAACTGCCCTGACGTGTCTGGAAAGCAGTTTCTTTGTATTCATCTACCACCTGTGGCTCTTACAATTTTTTACTCCCTTTTCTGCAATGGTTCTTGAGCCTTAGGAGGAATGGGTGTGGTATAAGAGTTCCATTTATGGCTGAGAACTCTGCAGTCTCTTGTTCTCTGTATGTTGACCAGTGGGTCTCTGTGCTAATCTTCATCACACGCAAAAAGAGGCTTCTTTGGTGGTTTTTAAGAGATGTCCTAATCTATGGGTATAACAATAAGTCATTATAAGTCAATTTAATCCTATGCCCATTTACCATTTAGAATAATACTAGTAGGTTCTCTCCTATGATCTAGCCAAAGGTTCTTGACCCTGAAAAAGTAAGAGATGACCCTTTAAACTCCAAATCAGCATCAAAATGCCGATTATTAGGACTTTGATATTAACCTGTGCTGTGTTGTTTATAGCTACCTGAGCCTGGACATTCTTTTATTTGGCTTATGATTCTGGTGGCTGGATTGTTTAAATGGCATGTGTATTAGTTACTTTTCTGTTTCTGTGATAAAATATCACAACCAAAAGCAACTTATGGAAGAAAGAGTTTATTTTGCCTTACTGTTCCAGAGGGAGCATCCATAGTGGCAGGAGAGTCAAGGCAGCAAGTAGCCAGAGCAGGAAGCAGAGAGATCACATCTTCAGCCACGTACAGGAAGCAGAGAAAGCAAAATGAAAGCAGGCCACCCCCAGTGACATACTTCTCCAGCAAGGCTGCATTGCCTGGAGTTCCTAACCTTCTCAAACAACACCACCAACTGGCAACCAAGTGTTCAAATATATGAGCCTATAGGGGAACATTTCTCATTCAAACCACCCCAGCGTGGCATCAGCATCACATCCCAATTTCCTCTTCTCTCAACTGATTGAGAAGCAGAAAGGAACTAGCCATGTGCAGAGGAGGCCTGCATGTGATCAAAGAGGTAAAGAACAGGGAGGATCCAGACTCAATCTTTTTATAACAACACTCACAGGAACTAATTCATGCCTACAGAACTTCCCACTCCATGAAACCAGCATTAATCCCTTCTGATGCCAGGCATGACTCAATTATCTCCACCAAGCTCCCACCTATTAAGGACTACACCACGTCCACATCACCACACTGGGGACAAGTTTTTATCAGATGAACCTTGTGGGGCAGCAAACCATATCCAAAGCAGCAGGTGGTTGGATCAGTTGTGAGAGGCAGTGGGTGAGAAGAGCAGAGCAGGATGTGCCCCGTGTACTTCCAATGTGAATCTCAGACATTATGTCTACCTTTTGCCTATTTGTCTCTACGACAGCGATCTACTCTTTTGGTTGCAGTATCATTGGAATCAAACGGTCTTTTGAAATCAGTGCATGTGAGAGTTCCTGCTTTGTTGTTCTTTCCGTAGATTGTTTCGGTTATTCAGGGTGCTCTGAGAGTCCATGAGGATTTTCATTGAGATTTTCATAGGAATCGTGTTAAATCTGTAGGTCTCTATGATAGTATTATGTACCTTTCAATAACGTTCATTCTCCAACCCATAAAGGTGAGACATCTTTTCACTTACTTGTGTCTGCTTCAATTTCTTCTCACAGTGTTTTATAGTTCTTGGTATACAGGCTTTTCATTGCCTTAAACACATTTACCCATATTGATTTTATTCTCTTTGATGCTGTTGTAAATGGGATTGTATGACTTGTTCTGAGTTTCTTTCTCATTTCATATGTCTAGTGTATAGAAGTATCTTAGTCAGTTCCAGGATGATATAATAAAATGCCACATACTTATAATTTGATAAGAACAGGAGCTGGAAGCTGGGCGTGGTGGTGCATGCCTTTAATCCCAGCACGTTGCCTTTAATCCCAGCACTTTGGAGGCAGAGGCAGGCAGATCTTTGTGAGTTCAAGGCCAGCCTGGTCTATTTAAATAGTGAGTTCCAGGACAGCTGGGGCTACAAAAAAAAAAAAGAACAGGGGCTAGAGAGATGGCTCAGTGGTTAAGAGCATTGGCTGCTCTTGCAGAGGATCTGGGTTCAAATCCCAGCACCCAAGTGGCAGCTAACAACCTCTGTAGCTCCAGTTCCGGGCGATCCGACAGCCTCTTTTGTGCACTTACACACATGCAGGCATAACACTCATATATATAACATAAAAATAAACTTTTTAAAAAGACTAGAAATTCATTTCTCATGATTTTAGAAGCTAGGGAGTCTACACTTCAAGCACCAAAAGACTAGCTCCCTGGTGAGTGCTTGCTGTGTGCTTCCCAGATGGCTGCTTCTTGCTGCATCCTCTGGAGGGGAGGCAGTTTGTGTTATCACAGTGTAGAAGGGAAAGGGGCAAAAAGACCAAGGATGCTTTGTTCAATATTTTTAATAGTAGTGTTTCACTAAATTTTCCCCTCCCAACTGGGAGACCTGCCCTCACTCGGGGTCTCGTAGTCCTGATGCAGACTGACAAAACTGACATAATAAATTCTATTTGGGTTTTGCATAGTTTATATGACATACGGGAAAGGGGGTTGACTTACAAAGACATGGATTCACATGGGCTTTTCTTCCCTGTGTTTGAGGCATGCGCTATCCCGCCGATGGTCTCCGTGCTCTATTCCCAAAATGGAGACTACCCCATTCACGGCTGTGCTCAAAAGTCCATACACAAACATAAATCTTGTGGCTTCCTGACAGCCACACAAAATGGTAAGAGACCAGCCTCGTGGTTTTCCTGGCGTATATATCCATAGCCCCTCCCATTAATGGGCATGATGCCTTCCACAGAGCATGGAAAAGAGGTGGGACCATGGCTTGTTGTCATAGGGTCAGAGGAACTTTTGGGTCACAAGCACTGATTCCATTTGTTGGAAATTAGAACATCATCATTTCTGAAAGACCTTACTTCTTAAAAACATTATTTCATTATTTCAAGTATTTGATTGGCTTTTTTTAACAAGGGTTTTAAATTTTTTATTTATTATTTTTATTTTATGTGTATGCATGTATTGCCTGCATGTAGGTAAGTGCACCCGTGTCGTGCAATGCCCGCGGAGGTCAAAAGAGGCTGTCGGATCCCCTGGGACTGGAGTTACAGACAGTTGTTAGCTGCCATGTAGGTGCCTGGATTCGAACCTGGGTCTTCTACAAGAACAACCAGTGTTCTTAACCTCTGAGCCATCTCTCCAGCCCCTGTTTTGTTTTTTTTGTTTTGTTTTGTTTTGTTTCATTTTTTTTGTTTTTTAGGACAGGATCTCATTTTATAGGCCTGACTGACTTGAAACTCACATTGTAGACCAGCCTCAAATTCACAGAGATCCACCTGCCTCTGCGTCCTGAGTGGTGGGTTTAAGGTCACCATCTGGTGAATTATTAGGTTCCAACATGGGAATTTTGGAGAGACATATGCACTGAAACAAGAGGTCTGTTTAGTGTTTTTTTAGTTCTTGTTTAGTTTGGCTGATAAAAGTACGTAAAACTGTGGTACTATTTCCATGAACTATTTTAATTTTGAGAAAATGGCAATAAGGCTTTATGGTATTTGTTGTCTGTGTCTCAACCCACAGTAGATATTTGTGAAGTTGTTTTGTTAAGGGCTTTGAATGACCCAAATTGCTATCTTTGTTTTTCTGTTTCTTAGTATCCTGAACTTGACATCTTTGTTTGTTTCATTTAGGGTACATCAGAGAAGGATTCCTTATTGTGCAGCATTCTGTAGATAAGGCCATCATGGTGTATCACAGTGGCAGAGCTGCAGAAAACATGTTTGCTAATGCCAGCTTTTATGCTAAGAGATTTCCATTCCCTGAATTTATTCATGACAGTTTTCTGTAGTCGTTCATGCCTATGTTTCCTTGGACAATTTTATTTACATTTACTCACATGCAACTTGACATCGTTGGGACCATTATGTTGGAAAAGGAAAAGAGATTAAAGGTAATTTCATTTTCTTTTTTCTATATATTTCTAAATTTTTAAAATTTTTATTATTTTTATTTTATTTTAATGTGTGTGAGTGTATTTCCTGCATACGTACAAGTGCACCTGTGTCATGCAATGCCCACAGAGGTCGGAAGAGGGCCTCAAATTCCCTGGAACTGGAGTTATGGACAGTTGTTAACTGCCATATGGGTGCTGGGAATCAAACCCCGGTCCTCTGCAAGAGCAGTAAATGCTCTTAACCACTTAGCCATTTCTCCAGCCCCAATTTTATTTTCTTTGTAACATTCTGGACCCATAGAACTGATGTGTGTGTATAGGTGGTTGGGTTAATTCTGCACATTTGGCACTGATAAAGAAATATATTGTAGGGGCAATGTGAAAGTATGAACTGACTAGTCTGTGCATATCAATTTTCTGATGTTTTTATTTTATATAAAATCTGGATTTGGCTAAATGACTATTGAAGAGATTACTATGAAAAGAGGTCAAATATTAAATGACCTGAATCATTTTTAGAATAAAATAGGCAACAAAGAAATAATCAGTTGAGCTCTTGAATTAAACTTAGACTGTAACAATTATGATTCTATGATTCTTTACCAAGATTATTCCTTCAAATCTTTGAGATGATTTCAATATGGAGTATATTCAAGACCATATTGTAAAGAATATTCACTCCTTGGATCAGGCATGGTGACCCACATCTTTAATCTGACCCTAGCACTCAGGTAGCAGATCTCTGTGGATTTGAGGTCAGCCTTGTCTACACTGAGAGTTCCAGGTCAGCCAGGGCTACATAGTGAGACCCTGTCTCAAAAAAACATAAACAAAAACAAAAAACAAAAAAAAGAAAGAAAAAGAAAAAAGAACAGGGACTCCAACATCAGAAGCCATTGATTCGCCTATCCATACATTATTTAGCATCTATTTACTAATTACCTTCTTTGTTCCAAGGTCTTTAGATTCTGGATTTGACAGTGATTAGCTCTGTGATGATAGCCTGTTCCCTAGATATAAACTGGAGATTATAATAGTTAATTTTGTGATTATTGGGGGAGTTAAACCAGATACTTAAAAAATATCTGTCGGTCATAAGCATCCCATAGATAGTAGTTAAAAATTAGAATTTTTACTTATACATTGTTAAAGTCTTATTTAAGATGTAAGTTAATGTATAATATAATTATCTAAGCAGGTGAAAAAATGAATTCTTGAGATATCTTGTTGCTTGTCCTCCCTGACCTATAGCAGACAGAACAGGTGGGTTTAGTATGTGCCTGCTGGTGCGGCTAATCAGAAAGTCTGGGTTAGCTGACAGGAGAGGCTGTGCAGGTATGGCCATGTCCTTCCATGTCTATGTAATTAGTCAGTCTTCATTGCTCTTACGGGGTCTTTCTGGAATCCCCTTCGTGTGTACTGCCTACTCTGTGCTGCAGCACATAATTCAAAAATCCTGTTCAGATGGTTTTATTTACTGCTTCCTTGTGACTTTTTATCTTGGATAGAGTGGGCTGGGCTGGTTGTATTATATGTAGAAAACACTAAGCCTTGAGCAGACCTAGTGGCTAGTGGGCAGCTGAAAGAACCCCAAAGAGCAGCCAAGAGCTGAGAGATGAGGAGCCGAGGCTATGGAGACCTAAGCGCTGCCAAGAGCTACAGCAAGCTCCTGGGAGCCACTAGCTCTGGATCTTGGGAGCTACCATGAGCTGCTGAGAAAGGTATCAGCACTAACTGCTGGGAGCTGAGCTCTGCTGCCCGGACCCAAAGCTTAGGGTCACACAAGGCTGAACTGCTGCCAGTTCACATAGAAGCTGTAACCCTAGGAGGCTGAGAGTTGCTGGTACACAAAGCTCAGAGCTGCTAGTGCTACAGGAGTAGTACTTTACCTATGTGCGATTTGTATCCACACTGAACAAAATATCCCTCAGACAGTTACTAACACTATGTCGGGTAGAATATTACACCCCTGACAATTTCCTGGTTCCCGTAGTTATGTGATTATGTCATACATTAATATAAGGGAAAGTAAGATGATGGTGTATGGAACCTACCTACATTACTATAATAGCCCAATAAGCAGCATGTCATCAACAGTGCAGTAATAAACAGTGATGTGTTTATCAAATGTAATACCAGGGCTGGAGAGATGGTTCAGTGGTTAAAAGCACTAGCTGTCTTTGCAGAGGATCCAACTTCGATTCCCAGCATCCATATGGCAGCTAACAACTGTCCATAACTCCAGTTCCAGGAGATCTGAGGCCCTCTTCTGACCTCCACGGGTATTGTACGACACAGGTACACTTACACATACATGCAGGTAATACACTCATACACATAAAATAAAAAAATATTTTAAAAATGTAATTCCATATAGGAATGAAGATGGCCAAATGACAGCTACAAGGAGTAACTGGAATGACCTGTCAGATGCATGATTCTGTTTAAATACAGTTCAGAACCGAGACAACACTGGCATGGGCTTTTACAACTCCAGACAGCAATGAGCTCTGGAAAGAGTATAATGGTTTGGAAGGGACATGAGGGATTTTTGAGATTGGAGCAAAACTCTTTTTTTCTTTTAGTATGTGGGTATGTGCATGTATGTAAAGTTCATGTGTGTGCGCATGTATGAGTGTGTGCATACATATGACTGTGTGTACATAAGAAATACAGAGATTGACATGGGGTGTAGTACATTTTTTATGAAATTGGGTACATGGAGTTTGGTGCATATATGTTTAAGATTGAAATATGCCAGGGAAGTACTCTACCATTGAACTATATCCCAACCTTCAGTTTTTTGAGACAGGAGCTCACAATGTAGCTCAGGTTAGCCTTGAACATTTTCTATAGCCCAGGATAGCCTAAAACTCATCATCATCCTGCTTCTGCTTTCCAAATTCTGGAATTATAGGCTTCTATGATTGCATCCAGCTATTAGTCTCTAATTTTTTGTTAGGTGGGATAATGGTAGCTTTTATTCTAAGGCAGTGGTTCTCAGTTTAGAACAATTTTGCTTCTAGGGGGTCATTAGTAATGTCTAGAGAAAATTTTCATGACTAAGACGGCTGTTACTTCCACCTACTGGGCAGAGGTCAGGGAGCTGTTAAATATGCTACAATGCATAGGATAGCCTCCCATAATGAAAAATTGAGCTGCCAACCATATTAAAGTTGCGCTACCTTAATATGCATTTATGAATGTAGGCCAGTGTTCCACACTGAATATATTCTAGAAGCACTGAGGCTGAGAAAGCTAGTGTCCTACTAAACTGGACATATTACTCATGTAAAATACTTTAAAAATTGTGCTGGATAGCTTTAGTGTCAACTTGACACACCTGGGTTGAAAGTGCCTCAATTGGGGAATTGCCTTCATTGGACTGGCCTGTGGCCATGTCCATGGGGCATCTTCTTGTTGAGTGATGTGGGAAGGCCCAGCCCACTGTGGATGGTGCCACCCCTGAGAAGGTGGGAAGGTGAGCCTGTGTTGCATAAGAAAGCAGGCTGAGCATGGGCCAGGGGAGCAAGCCAGTAAGCAGCATTCCTCCATGGCCTGGGAACTGGAATCCTTTCCTCTGCCTGTATAAGCTGAGGTATTCTTGCCTCTAATCCTTAGAGGAGGTTCTTCTCCTGGTCCTGGAGTATTTCTTCATGAGTTCTAGGATGGAAATGCTAGCTGCACCATCTTAAAATGTCTGGAGCATTCACCTGTGCAGCTTGGCTGTCTCTGCTATTTGGCCCTGGAAAAGCTACCTATTGTCTCTGCCTCAAGGCAACTGCTGCACTTGGCTTCAGTTTTCGCTCCAGTTAGCTAGGCCATTTCTAGCAGTTAGTTATGCATTCAGTAGGCTCTTCAGGTTCACTTTGTGTTTTCTTTCTTATCTTCACCAAGAAACAGAGTGCTTTCATGGCTCTGTTACCTAGCCGATGGCATGTTTTTCTCTGCAGGTTTAGATCAAGTCCAGAGCCTTAATCATTTGCAAGTACTAATGGGCTTAGGTCATTGCCTAAAACTGAATGAACTATTCCTGGCCTTGCATTCCTGGTGTATTGGCTGCTTTTCTCCTCAAAGTACGTGTCAGAAACAACTTGAGGAAAGAATGATTAATTTTGGTTCATGGTTTCAGAGCTGACATTCTGTCGTGCTGGGGAGGGTGTGGCGGAGCAGAGAGGCTCATGTCATAGAAGACAGGAAGGAGGGGGCCGGGGAAAGGGCTGGAGCAAGGTGAACCTTCACAGAGCATGCCCTTCAACTATGTTATACTTTCTATCTTTTGCCATTTCTCAATAATGCCATTATAGAATGAGTCCATCAAGGGATTAATCTATTCATTGGCTAAAATCCTTCATGATCTAATTGTGTCTAGACTCATAGGCATGGCCTTCAACAGTCTGCTAGGTGCATCTCAATCCAAACCAAGTTGACAGTTAAAATTAATCATTACCTCTAGAGGGAGAGTTGCTTTCCCTTGTTGCCCATCATTACGATACACTGCAACATTCTGCAAGTATTCCTAACACAGTTTTTGGACTAACCCACCCTGAGGTTTCAGGCATTCTATTGCGGGAGCTCCCCTGTTACTGATTTTGGAATGACTCTAGCCACGAGTCTACTGAGATGGAATACAGTTCACAGGGCCCAACCTCATTTGCTCCTTTGCTCAGAGTCTTTTGTCTTCTGGTCTCCCATGTTTTGAAAATAAATTTCTCATTTTTACATGTTTCTCAAAATATAGCCCTTTAAAATTAGCATAAATAAATGTCTTTTAAAGATTTTTAAAATTACTTTTCCCAGCATTATAGAGTTTTGGTATTTTTATCTTTTAGGATTTTAACCTTTAAGGATTTTTGACTATGGATTTTTATCAGCATTGTATATTTCACGAAACTCCTCAGACGTGAAGAAAACAAAGAATTATTCAAATAATTTGACACTGTAAATTCTGTACTAAGACCAAACAAATTTATGACAGCTATCAAGGTTTTAGTCAGTCTGTCCATTTTGACTGACTGATCAAAAGGGAGAGAGGAACTGTCAAATTAAAAGAGGCCCTAAGCTGTCATTCTATGCAGCATGCTGTGCCTAATACTGTATAGTGACTGATCAACTTGACAGGATGGTGACTCACCTAGGAGGTAAGCCTCTGGCTAGGCCTGTGAAGAATTGTCTTGATTAGATTAATTGAGGTTGACAGACCTGCCCACGGTGTGTGGCATGGCTCCAGGGACAGGGGTTCTAGACTTCATAGAAAGGAGAAAGCCAATTGAGCACAAGCTTTCATTTCTCTCTGCTTTCTGACTGTGTGTCCAGTTGCCTTCAGTCCCATCTGCTATGACTTCCACACCATGATGGACTGTACCCTCAAACTGTGAGCCAAATTAAGCCATTTCCCCTAAAGCTGCTTTTGTCAGGGTGTTTTATCACAACAGGAAAGGAAACTAAGGTAGACTGATAAACAAAATATAAATCAAGAATATATTCTTGCAACAAGTACTGAGTCCTGAGCTTCCAGTTGACAGTTGATCAAAATTGCTCAGACATGTCCAAATACGGCAAACATGGAGGTAGTTCTGCCAGTTTTTCTTTTGACCTGTCTAATACTGCCTGTCCATGTTGATAGGTGGAGCTCTGTGAATCATTGCTGGTTCAGGTGGCTCAATTTATGAACCACGATGTGTGTGTGTGTGTGTGTGTGTGTGTGTGTGTGTGTGTGTGAATGGATGTTATAGTGTGTATACAGTGGTCAGAGGACAGCTTGTGGGAATTTGCTCTCTACTTCTGCCATGTGGGTCCCAGGAATTGAACACAGGTCATGAAGCTGGACAGCAAAAACCTTTTCCCACTGAGCCACCTTGTTGGTCACTAAAGCTTTTTTTTTTTTTTTTACTCACTGGAAACCAGGAGAAAAAAGACATTAGAAACACGCACAGGCAGCTGGAAGAGGCAGAAACAGGAAGTTCTCCTTCAGTGTAATTTCTGGAATTTAGCCTTTCAGAGTCCGGCTTTGTAATTTATTGATCTAGGAGAGTTTAGACGAAACCCACAGCGTTAATCATTTGCTTAATCATCAGCTGTGGCGTGAAAGCAGCCACAGACAGTGCTGAAATGAATAAACGTGCTTTATTTATAAAAATATGACCTGGCTAGATCAGCTTGTGGGTTATAGTTTGCCCACCCCTGCTCAAGTCTACAGTGGAACAAAAGTGGGTTTGGGATTTATTGGATTTAATGGTTCCTTTTGGATTTATTGCTTCCTGGAAACAGGACACAATGAAAAGAAATGTTATCTTTTTAATTTTGAAATTTTAAAGTTTTCTTAACATCAGAACCAGAACCTGTGAAGTGTTAAGAGACTGTAAGGTATTAAGAGAAACAAAATCTCTGGACCCAGAATTCCAAGTCACATCACTCAGTAGGTGCACCGCTTTAATCCAGTCATTTGACTGCTATGAGCTGTGATGAAAATGACAATATTTAACCACACCAACGTTGCTGTGGGTCAGGAAGAGGTGTGCATGTAGTTTGAAATCTCCAAGCTGCTTTTCATGACCCTAGTTTGTGTTGATTCTCCTGCAGGAATACCAGCTCATAGTGGGACTCAGCAACGCTATGCTCTGGATTTCCTATTTCATCACCTTCTTAGTGATGTATTTCATTATCATCTGCTTGCTGTGTGCAGTTTTCTTTCTTAAGGCAAGTACCCATGTGAATGCAGTCAGACTGTAAGAAGGATGAAGAAATTTCAGTGTGGGCAGAGTGTGTTTTAGTTTGCCGAACAGTAATGGGGTTTTCATGGATTCCACTGTAGGAGTTCAAAAGGTGCTTTGTCTATCAGAGGGAAAAAAATAACAAAATGACTGGCTCCTCTATAGACAATGTTGTCAGTGTCAGTAAGCAATGTGAGTCGCGCCACTAGGGTCACTGCGTTTGGTGTTTTTCTTCACGTCCCTGCCCTTTCCTCACCAGTTCACGGATGGCTAAACTCGCTTCCTAATTGTTTCATCAGATTACACACGAGCGAGTCTTCCAGCACAGTGACCCGACATTCCTTGTCTTCTACTTCCTGTGCTTCGCCGTCTCCTCAATGTTACTCGGTTTCATGGTTAGCTCGTTCTTCGATAAAGGTGAGTCTAAGGCTTCTTTCATGAAAGATGCTATGTTTTGACTAATAAAGAATTTTATTGGGAAGCTTCCTCTAAATTTCAGTTGCCACTGGATAAATTCCGGAAAATTTCTTCCTCATACTCTTCATTTAAGTAAAAGTATTTACGGAGCTCCAACTGTGAGTCAGGCACGGAGCCAGATGCCAGTGATGTAGTGGGGAGCGACATGGTTTCCCTCCACTTTTAGAGTTTGCATTCTCTTGCACAGTAAAGTGAGGGTAGTTATTTCTGGCTCTGTGGCTTCCATCATTTGACTCTATTTCCTTTTTCCTTTTCAGCTTCCTTGGCCTCTTCCATCACAGGTTTTCTCCATTTTCTCACTTTCTTTCCATATTTAATGATAGTTCAAAGGTATGATCAGATAAGCTTCCCCGTGAAGCTGGCATCCTGTCTCATTACAAATACCGAATTAGCTTTTGGGGCCGACCTGATATGCAGGATGGAAATGAAGGGTGAGTATTTCCTGTGCAAAAGCATGTGATAATCTGAGTCAAAGAAAGAAAAGGCAGGCCATAGAGGGCTGGGAGAGAGCAGCGGGCAGGTGTGCTTTGTTTGTCACTGTCCTTTTTATCATAAAAAAAATGGTGTGTATGCATTATATATACATACTGTGCACACATGTATATGTAAATAGTAATACTATACAAACTGATACAAATAATATATTAGATATTTATATCTGCATACATATCAGTATGTTCGTGTCCTGTCTGTGTAGGTGGTCTCTTCTGGGGTATAATTTTGTCACTCAAGACGATGGCAGCCTTTCACTACTGAAAGTTTTCAGTGTTCCACCATGGAGATGATTATAGCTGTGGCTTTTCGTAGATGATTTTATCTAGCTAAGAAAATTCTGTTTCTAGTTCATTGAGTATTGATTATGATCAGTCAAAGGCTGTTGAATATTATAAAATACCTTTCCCCATAAAGAGATATGATTGTATATGTTCTATTAATGTGGTGAACTTAATGACTGAGGTTCAGATACTGAACCTTTCTTGTAGTCTAGGATACATCCCTCCTGATTATGTCATCCCTTTCATCTTGATTGGTTGGCATATAACTGCTCATAGAATCCTTTTAAATCCTTATTTCTATGATATCAGTGATGATTTCTACTTTTATTCCTCATTTTTGCAGCAGTTTGGCCCCTTAGATCTTACTGTGTTATTCAGTCTGCACAAATTTATGTATATCTTGCTTTTCTTTCTCTAAGGGGTGTTTTGTTGTTTTTGTTTTTGAGAGAGGGTCTCACTCTGTAGCGTAAGCTGATCTCTAACTCACTATATAGCTCATGCTGACCTTGAACTTGTATTGATCCCCCTGCTTCAGCAGCTCAAGTGCTGGGATTATAGGTGTGAATACGATACATAGTTCTTTCTCTAGCTTTTTAAGGTGGAAGAGTAGGTTACCAGTTTGTGCTCTCCCATTTGTTAATGTACATATCACAGCTGTAGTCCTCTGTGTACTCACTTTTGCTACATCCCATAAATTTTGTAGTTTTTACTCCCCTCATAGTATAACTTTCCTTATTATTTATTGACCATCTATAAGACAACTTGTGGGATTTTGAGGGGTTTGTATTAAACCTGTAGACCTCTTTGGAAAGAGTTGACATTTTACTGTGTACAATCTAGTGAATGGTGAACATATTATGTTTATTTATTTGTATATGCTTTGATTTTGTAAAAGCAAACCAGTGATTTTTATACAAATACTATACATTTTAAATTAAATGTAAATTAATTTAACTACATTTAAATTAAATTAATACTTGAGTAGGTTTATAGTGTCAAAGGAATATACTTAAGTTAATTTCAAATGGTGGTAAGTGGTATTATGTTTTTCTTTTTATGTTTGTTATTAGTATTAGAAATCAAACTGGCTTTGTGTTTTACTCTTGTATCCTACGACTGGTGAAGATTTTGTAGTTCTTTTTGCATGTTCCTTGGGGTTTTCCATGTACCCAGCTGTACCACCCCAAAATAGATAAGTTTATTCATATGAATGATAGTTCCTGATATTGCCTGTTGCAGCACTTACAGTGTGCACTGTGTTGAGTAAGTGGTGAACTGGACATCCTTGCCTTGTCTCCAATTTTAGGAGAGACCATTCAGCAGTAGATATATGTTGCTTTGTTGTAGCTTGTTCATTTTTGGTTTCTTGAAATGGTCTCACTCTGTAGCCCAGGCTGGCCTGGAACTCAGTACAAATCCCAGGCTGTGATTATAGATGTGAAGCGTACCTGGCTTATTTGTAGGTGTTTTGCAGAAACTCTTTCACAGGTTGAGGTGATTGTCCTCTCCTCTTACTTCCTGAAGATTTTCCTCATGCACAAATATTGGATTTTTTAATCTTCTTTTATATGTCTGCTGATTTGGTCATATGACTTTCCTTATGTAGGTTACCTGTATAGATTACAATGATTGATTTTTATCGCTTACTCATGTTTTTATTCATATTAAGTTCATATATGTAATGAGACATGAAGAGGCAGCTTCATTATTCTGCATGTAGGAACTCAGTTGTACCTATAACATTTATTGAAATTGGTGTCATTTCTCATTGAATGGACTTTGTACCATTTTCTGATGACTATATTTCCAAACCTACATGTCTTCTTGGTTGTTTTCATGATGATTAGCCTTAGAGAACTGAGGTATAAGACTACCTAACAACCTGGACATTTGCTTTAAGTATTATGGTTTTTGGTTTTCACTAACTTTTAGTAGAGGTTGGATAGAAGGAAAGTCTCCTTCCATTATTACTCCTTTGCTTCCTAGAGAACCTAAACATAAGGGTATCATTGAATAGACAATACAGTCAAAGAATGCATGAAATACAGCAGGGGTGCAGATGGGGAAGGGGCCTAAATATGATAAAGATGTATTGTGTGAAATGCACAGAAATTCAATAATAAATTCTAAAAAAGAAAATAGGGGGCTGGAGAAATGACTCAGCAGTTAAGAGCATTGGCTGCTCTTACAAAGAACCTGGGTTTGATTCCCAGCACCCACGTGGTGGCTAACAACCATAACTCCAGCTCCAGGGCATCTGACGCCCTCTTCTGACTTCCTTGGGTATTGCATGACACCAGTGCACTCAAACACATGCAGGCAATATACTCACACACATAAAATAAAAATAATAAATAAAACATTAAATAGACAGTCTCCAGAGAATGCAGGTGAAGTTTTTCCCTTGTTGTTAATCAAAAAGCAACTAGGTGACTTTGTTCTAGCCATTGTTGAACATCTGAAGTAACTGTCTCCTTTTATATTTCAGGGGATGGTGCTCAATGGGATAACTTCTCTTCAAAAATAAGTGCAGATGATGACTTAACTTTGGCCCACATAGTGGGAATGTTTTTATTTAGTGCTTTCCTGTATGGTCTTGTGGTCTGGTATGTAGATAATGTCTTTCCAGGGAAGTATGGTGTGCCTAAACCATGGAATTTTTTCTTGCAGGTGAGTTCCAATGCTTTTTTTTAATTTTTTTATTTAGAGAACCCTCGGTCCTTATGTGGCTGGTTTGCAGAAGAGCAAGCACACGTGCCCTAACACCCCTCCCCATGGTGACTGTGCTAGTCAGACTTCTTACTGCTTTGCAAATGCCTGAGGGAGATGAATTAAAAGATGGAAAGATGTATTTCGGCTCCTGATTTTGAGGGTTTCTGTCCATAATCCCATAGCCATGCCACTTGGAGCCTGAGGTGAGGCAGAGCGTCTTTGTGGAAAGGTGTGGCAGAACAGCTGGTCATCTTATGGCCATCAGGAAATAACCAGGATGCCTATGCTGGGATTTTCCCCTCTTCCCTCTTTATTTCATCATGACCCCTGGGGTATTGGGTGTTGCCACCCTTATTCGGAGCTGTTCTTCCCCTCTATAAAACCCCCACAGACACACCCAGAAATGTGTTTTGCTAATCTCTTCAACAAACCTCAAGCCAATCAAGTTGACAATCTAAGATTAACCACTCTAGTCCCTCACCCTTATTGTACTAATGCCATTTTTTCCTTCTCAACCAAAGCTGTTATGAGTTAACTTTGTCACGTGTATGATAGAATGAAGTGATTTTTCTGCAAAGAAATCCCATGTGAATGAACACACAGTCATGTCTGTAGGCCCAAGTGAGGAGTGGATAAATTATGTATGCCCCATGTCTATTTTTAAAAGATTTTTCTATTTTAAATGACATCAGGTATATTTATGAGAAATGGTGTTGTACTTTAATGCACATATAAAATGAGTAAGGATGAAATCAGAGTAATTGCCATTGCATTTATCATTTCTTTGTTTTGAGAACATTTAAATTTCTCTCATGTAATCTCTTGTAAGATACAAAATAGATTATTATAACTGATAGTCAACCTACCCTGCTGTAGAATGTAGAACTTATTCCCCCTATCTAACTTGTATTTTGGTTCCCTTCTCTGGCATCTCTTTATTCCTTTTATCTTCTCTAATTCCTAGCCTCTAGTGACCGAGTACTACTCTGTATTTCTATTAAGTCAATGTCTTTAGCTTCTGCATATGAGTGAGAATACACAGTGTTTGTCTTCCTGTGCATAGATCATTCACTTAACGTAGTTTCTGCCAAGTGTACCCATGTTATTGCAATTCTCTTTTTATGATCAAATCATATTTCATTGCAAAGTATACCACATTTTATGTATCCACGTATCCATCAATGGAGATGGTGGTTGAATCCATATTTTGGCTCCTGTGAATGATGTTGAAATAAACATGAGAGTACAGATATGTCTTTGCCATATGGATTTCATTTCCTTTGGGCATATGCCCAGTGGTGGGACTGGTGATTCAATTTTAAGTCTTTTGAGGAGCCTCTATGCTGGCTTATGTCCATCTGTACTAATTTAGATTCTTACCAGCAGTGTGTGCAAGTTCTCTTTTCTCTTCATGCTCATCAGCATTTGTCATTTTTGTCTTTATGTAAAAGCCACATCAATGTTTTAATGATACATTGTTTTGATTTTCATTCCCCTGCTTACCCATGATATTGAGCAACTTTTACTTATTGACCCTTTGTGTATCATTTGAGAAATGTCTATTCATATAGCTTGACATTCTAAATTTGTATTATTTATTTTTCTCATTGTTGAATTATTTAAGTTCCATATATATTCTGAAAATAATTTCCCTTTGAACCAGTAGTTTAAAAATATTTTCTCCCATTTCACAGGTAAACTTGATTGTGTTGATGATGATCTTTGCTTTGCAAGATATTCATACCTTGATAAAATTCATTTGTCTTATTTTGCTATTGTTTTGTACTTTGAGGATATAATGAAAAACATCTTTGTCTATACCAATGTCTTAAAGCATCTCTATGGCTTTCTTCTGAGAATTAGTAGTTTCAGATATTTGGTCCATTTGAACTGATTTTTGGATATACTGAGAGCTTGGTGTCAAGTGTCTATCTGTGCGTGAATATCCAGTTTTCTTAGCACCATTTAGTATATTTATAGGACAGGTATCTCATGTTCCCATACATATGCACAAGTTGAAGATGTTGACTTAACAGAAATACATAGTATAAAGTCACCAGAGGCTAGGAATTGGAGAAGATAAAGGGAATAAAGAGATGCCAGAGAAGAGAACCAAAATACAAGTCAGAAAGAGGAAATAAGTTCTACTGTTCTTTATATTTGGTGTGTTGGTCAAAAATCAGCTTCCTATGCAGACACTTAGTTGTATTAGATTCTATAGTGTGCTCCGCTCATTGTGTCGGCTCTCACGTCAGTGTCATCCTTTTAGATACTATAGCTTCACAGTGTGGTGAAAAGATCAGGTATTTTGATGATGTGGTCTGATATCATGTGTGTATGTGTATACACATGTGTGTGAATGTATGGTGCACATGCCTGTGAGCATGGGTATAGGGCAGTAAGGACGTTGGATGTCCTTCTCTCCCCTTCTCCATTTTATTCTTTGAGACAGGGTCTCATTGGACCTGGAGCTAGGCTGGTGCCCAGTAAGCCCAACTTTTTAGTGTCCTCTTTAATTTCATCAGTATTTTGTAATTTTTGTTGAAATCATTCACTTCTTTGATTGAGTTTTTCCCAGATATTTTTGTAGTTATTCTAAGTGAGATTGTCATCTTGATTTCTCTTTCAACTAGCATGTTTTTAGTGTGTAAAAATCCACTCATTTCTATATGCTGATTAGTGCCAATTTACTGAATTTATCAATTCTAACCATTTTAATGGTGTTTTTCCTATATATAAAAATATTATCTGCAAGCTGAAATAATTTGATTTCTTCCTTTCCTATTTGGAATGCCCTTCATGCATCCCTTTCACATAACTGCCTTGGCTAAGGCTCCCTGTACTGGATGGTAAAACATGTAAAAGCAAGGTAAAAACATGAACATCCTTGTTCCAGATGTTAAAGGAAATGATTTCAGCCTTTCCCCATTCAGTGTGATGGCTGTGGGCTTCTGAGTAAATTCTTACCATATTTAATTTGTTGAGTGTTTTTATTATGAAAATGTTGAATTTTACCAAATGCTTTTTCCGTATCTGTTGAGGTAATCATATATTTTTGAAGGACTGTTCTTAATTATTTATTTTCCTTCATCAAATATATAATTAAGTGAAGCAGACTTTCCCCTGTAAATACCCGAATGGTACAGAAGACAGTGGCTTTGTAGCACTGTTTTGTTCTACTGTTTGAATTTGTACTAAGGCACTTGAGACATGCTGATCATTGTTTTTATACCATCAATGAAAATGACAGCTCAGTAAAAAGGCAAAGTATTTTAAAAATAGTTTGTGAAAATAATATTGTTCTTAGAGACAATTGAAAGTCCTAGTATAGCCGTAAATCTGTAGACCACATCCAACCAGAAAGACCTCACCAAAGTAATGTGATACTTTCACCGTGCCTTTTTGAGGCGATTTCAGTAGTTCACTTCCTGCACAGCCATGCTCTGTGGTTATAATTTTAGCAAGCCATATTAGAGACAAGCTCCTTCAAATGATAGTTTCAAGACATCCATTGTAACCCACTCCAAAATGAGAGTGAATGACCCAGAGAGCATTGAAGTCTTTAGTGCACTTAATTTTTCAGTAATACCATGATTGCATGTTTTTATTCTTTTAGAAATCCTACTGGCTTGGGAAAACAACCTTAAACAATGAAGAGCACCATCTCTCTGATTTGGCCCCAAATAATTATATTGAGGCTGAGCCTGTTGGTTTAGTGGCTGGTATCAGGATTCAACATTTATACAAGGTATTATTCTGTGAGTCTTTGTTTCTTTTTTCAATTTGTTTTACTTTTTTTTCTAGAATTTCATATATGAGTCCTGTAGTTACATCATTCCTTCCCTTGCTTAATCTCCTCCAACTCATCATATGACCTTCCCCTCCACTCCTCAAATTGGTGGTCTGTTCTTTTATAATTAGTACTGTTAACACATATATACCCTAAGACTAAATGGACATACTGAGTCCATTTAGTGTTACTAATATGTGTGTTTAGGGCTGACTATTTGGGACTAGATTACGTATCAGGTTGTACATCCCTGGAGAAAACTGATTCTTACACTCTCAGCAGCCATCAATTTCCTGTAGCTCTTCATCTAGGAGTGCAGTCTTGTGAAATTTCCTGCATCTATGTTTGCATGTCAACTGGTGTTGCCATGTAGGTCTTGTTTAGGCAACCATATTGTTGATTTCATGGGTGAGGCATCCCTGTCATGTCTAGAAGGCACTATCTGGTCCTCTAGTGTTTCAGTCTTTCTGTCCCCTCTTCTGTGATGTTCCCTGAGCCTTGGGTGTAGGAGTTGCATTGTAGAAGCATCAATTGGGTATGGGCACCCCATGATCACTTATTCTCTGTATTTTGATGAGTTATGGATCTCTGTGATATCCTGTATCTGTTGCAAAAAAAAGCTTCTTTGACTTCTGGTCTAATTGGACCAGAAATCTGGTGAGAGTTACATTTATCTGTGGGTATGAGAATAAGTGTTTTATATACAGTTAGAAATGATACTGGTTTAGGAAAATGGCAGTAGTAGTAGGTTCTCCTCTAGGGTCTATGACCTCTCCAGCCATGGGTATTTGACTGTGTTTTAAGGACTATGCATGAATTCTCTCTTTTTGAGCAGGTCTTAAGTCAAATTAGACAACTGTTGGTTATACCCAAGATAACCAACACAAAATTGCACAACCAAATTGGAAAATCTAAAAGAAATGGATAGATTTCTAGATATATATGACTTAAAGATTCTGGACATTTTCTTCCTTGGAGTGGTTGCTAATTCTAATCATGGACTGGGGCTCCTGAGAAAGAACTCTACTGGAGTAAAGAAAGACATGTGAAGTTTGGGGGCAGGTAATAGTTGCCTGGCATGACATATTGGATACTTGAAGGATCCAGACATATGGCCAGATTCATGAACTGGTAGGATTAATATTGTGAAAATGGCCACCCTACCAAAAGCAATCTACAGATTCAGTGCAATCCCCATCAAAATTCCAATGCAATTCTTTATAGCAATTGAAAAAATAATTTTAAATTTCATATAGAAATACAAAGCTGTAAATATAGCCAAATACACAAGACCAGAGAACTATAGATCCTATGCCTGCAGTCATCTCTGGCATATCTCTAGACAAATGAAATTTCTTACTATCTGCTAAATATGGATTCTTATATTTAAAAGCAAGTATACCATTTACCACTCATCAAAGAAGCTTTTTTTTTTGGACCAGATAGAGGCTATTACAGAGTTCCACCACTGATCACACACACAGAGTATGTGTCTGAGAGATGCCCAGGCCTAAGCAACACATCTGTAGTGGAACCTCTACACCTAACCCTCATGGAATATAGTAGAACAGGGAGTAGTGAGAATACTAATGCATGCCTTAACTCATTCCAGCAAAGCTTCCTCATATGACAGAGTGTGATGAACACAGAAGGCCACAACTGGCTAAGTTTTAGAGAATAAGAGCCTGCAGAGTGTGTGTCCCTGGATAGGACTCCTATATGAAACCTCACCCACCTACATCTCAGGGACCACTGCAGAAGAGGGGGTGTTAAAATTGTAAGTGCCAGGGTTGATGTATGAATATAAGGAAAAAGAGACTTTCAGGTTACTGGGAACTTGCTCATATGAACTTGCAACAATGGTGACAGCATGCATAAGACCCAGGCCAACTATCAGGTGAAAACTCAGCACAGAACAAGGGAAATAGGCAGCAGGCCCGACCCTAGCTGAGGAACTATTATCAACTGATTACTGCTGGGTAAAGCAGAGTAGATATTCTTTAAGAGAGTGACTCTAGATAGGCTGACTAGACTTCAGTGGATGAACTTGCACTGAGGGACATCTGTGCACAAATGCTTGACCAGATAGGACTTAACATATATTAGATCTTAATCCACTTAGACCCCCTCCCCCATCCATGCCCCTCATACACCCCCCCCATCCATGAGGGGCATGGATGGAGGAGGGGGTCTAAGTGGATTAAGATCTATTATACAAAATGCACAAAACTAAAAAAAATATTTTTTAGAAAAGAAATAGAGAATACTCTGGATATCCAAAGCAACTCTATACAATTAAAGAACTGCTAGAGGTAACACCATTTCTGATCCTAAGTTACACGTTGAAGCCATAGTAATAAAAACAGCTTGGTACTGGCATAGAAACAGACACATTGATCGATGGAATGGATTGAAGACCCAGATATAAGTCCAAGCATCTAGGCCACCTGATTTTTGACAGAGTCCAAAGCTACACATTGGAGAAAAGAAAGCATCTTCAATGAGTGGTTGCTGGTCAAACTGGATCACTACATATAGAAGAGTGATGCTAGATCTTTCTCTCTTACCCTGCACAAAACTCAATTCCAAATGGACCAAGGACCTCAACATAAGTCCTGATGCCCTGAATCTGATAGAAAAGAAAATACAGGATATGCTTTAACTTACAGGCACAGGGAAGATCTTTCTGAACAGGACTCCTAAAGCACAGGCATTAAGACCAACCTCTAATGCACAGGGATTAATAACCACAACCATGCCACAGATTCAGTATTATGCTGTCTTGAAATTTCTTCTGCCAAAGAAATTAGTCTATTAATTTTTAATTCAATCTCAGGCAAGTTCCGAGGACAAGAGGCAGAATGCATCCAGATTCTCTGCCACAATGTCACAAGAATGGGCACTAGCCCAGTTGCTGTTTTAGTCCATGTTTCCTTCTCCCCCCAATCAACCTGGGCCTCTACACTCCACATTGTTCTCAACGCTACAGTTTTCCAGCCTCCTCCTAGATTGGGCTGGGAAGCTCTCCTTGCAGCAGTCAGCCACTTTTCTAGTGTGAAGTGCCGAAGTCTTCCACAACAACTTGGGTTCTTCACAGCAGCACCCCACTCCTGGTATCAACTTTTGCTTGAGTTACTTTTCTGTTGCTGAGATAATAGGTCATGAATTATAGAAGAAAGAGTTTATTTGGGGTTATGGTTCCAGAAGGATGAGTCCATCATGACAGGGAGGATGGCAGCAAGCAGCAGGCACAGAGCAGGAGCTGGAAGCCAAGACCTCACAGTTTCAATGACAAACATGAAACAGAGAGCACTCTGGAAGTGGGACCAGGCTATGAACTCTCAAAGTCTGCCCCCAGTGACATACTTCCCCTAGCAAGGCTGCACCCACAAACCTCCGCAAACAACACTACCAACTGAGGACCAAGATTTCAAATATGTAAGCCTATGGAGGACAGTTCTCATTCAAACCAGCACAGAAGTGGGGAGTCAAATGCTTTACAGACAAGAAGATACTGCTGGCCTGGAACCGACAGCTTACCATCATCATCTTCTTACCCCATCCTCTTTTCTTCCTTACTTTCCTCCTCGTCCTTTTCTTGCTCTTTTCAGCTTAGACAGCTCTCTTTTCCACTGCATCAGCTTTTCCTGTGGCTCAGTAGGCAGGAAAATACTCTTCCTAATCTCCCTTCTGCTGAGCAGCCTCTGCTTGTCATCTGCCATGGTCTTGTGAAGAATATTTGCATTGTTGTGTGACTTGAATTTCCTTTTCTCCTTTGTTAAATATATTTTGACTGTATTTATGCAAGTGTATTTCTAAGCTCTCTATTTTCTCCATTGATACCTACTCAGGCTAATGTTTAGTGAAAGTGTTAAATCATTCATATGTGTAAATACATATTACTTCTTTATTCTGTTACAAATTTTCTATCAGAGCAGGGCCATATATGCCTTGTTCATAAATGTGAGAGTATGTCCTACAATGTCTGCACGTAACAAGTGCTCAGTAGTTACTTGTTGAATTATTGAATGAGGTGATTAGCAGTGATGAGTCCCGGAGGTAGACGATGTCTAAAGAAGTCAGTTGCAAGTGTTAGTGTATATGACTGGATGGATAATGGTCCAGTTCATGGAGATAAAGACCATATTAGAAAGAGTGAATTTTAGGTGTAATGAGTAGTGCTTGCAGTGTCTATAAGCCAATGACATACCATGGGTTTTTGGCAGATAGTGTGCAACGTAGGAGAGAGACACTGAGGAACTAACTGGGGCTTTATCTGCTTCAAGACTGGAAAAAGGAGGACAGGATGAGATTTTTCAGGAGGATTTATAAACTCCACATATTGCTTAAAAGCATTGCTTGGTTTCCACAATTTAATATATTCTTTTTGATTCTCCAATCTTGAAATTAATAACATTTTTCTTCCTCTCTGATTAATTAATGAGTCCTTGTCATTTATAGGTAACAGAAACAAAATTAGATTTTGGTTTTCTTCTTACAGAAATTTTCCTTAAAAAATAGTGTCATGATAACAGTAAAAGACTTGTCTTTGAATTTATATGAGGGACAGATCACTGTTCTCCTAGGACCGAATGGAGCACGAAAAACCACCACCTTATCAGTTCTCACAGGTATGTATTAGGGATCACCCTGAGCACAGATATACTGGGCCAGGCTGTATCTGGACACCTTTGACATTGACATCATCATCATACTTATAGTTTATCAACCCACTTAAAGTACAAATCATTTAAAAATTAGTATATAGATCCTCAGGCCTCTTGGGGTAAGTCTACAGTGCAGCTCTCCGCGCCGGGACTCCCTAAGCCTCATTCACCCTTCCACCCCACCCAACACCCCCCTGCCCCCCCGCCCGCCATTCTATACTCTAGCTTGGACCCTGTGCCATTCCTAGTCTTGGGGCCCCAGACACCTGGGGAACCAATACTGTTTCCTGATCCTTCTCACCCAGAGCAACTCAGGCCCTTTCTTGGGCTCCAGGAGCACCGCTTCTGGTCCTGGCCCTGCCCTCATCCCCCTCTACTTCCCCGGTCCTCCAACACCCGCCAGCCTCATTCTGGGGCTGACAGCCTCTTTCTAGGGCTCCGAGGCTTACCTTTACTCTCCCTGATCCTTTGCATCCAGTACAACCCAGCTACTCAATCCACTCCCTGGGAAATCTTGGGGCTTCTTCCC